AATAAGTCATATTAGTTGTGGCTTATTATCTTTTGATATACTTTTGGATTGGATTTGATAATATTCTGTTGAGGATTTTTACATCTGTATTAATGAGAGTTACTGGTAAGTAGTTTTATTTCCTATACCTTTGTTTTGTTTGACAATTAGAAGACAGCTGACCTCCTATTTAAAGGTTTATGTAGAATTATTATTTATTCCTTAAATATTTAATAGAAATCAATGGTGATATGATATGTATAGGGGGTTTTATTGTTGTTGAGACGGTTTTGTCTATACATTCAAATTGTTTGATAGATGCGGGACTATTCCAGTTATCAATTTAATTGAGTCGGTGTTGGTAACTTGTGTTTTTTGAGTAATTATTCTACTTCCACCAAGCTTTCAAATTATTGTCATAAATTTGCATAAGATATTTTGTTAGATCCTTTATTAATATCTGTGGGTCTGCAGTGATTTTCCTTCTTTCATTCCTAAGCCAATCATTTCTGTCTTCTCTCTTTTTCCTTTGGCCATTTTGAACACAATTTGATCAATTTTACAGATTTTAGTGTAATTTCATCTTAATACAGTTATATGTTAATATTTTGTTGGATATCCTTGAACCTGTCATTCATAGATTGATAGGGATAGATTGAGATGTGGGAAATAGATATACAGATAGATATTCCTCAAATTTAATGATCATTGAATATATAATTTCTTGAATTTTGTTTTATTTTTTGTTTGCTTTATTATTACATTTTTAAATATATTATTAATAAGAACAAAAACCAAGAGAAGGTATATGAGAATGTGAACTTCTTAGAGATTGAAAATAATTATATTTAATAGGTTAAAGACTGAACATAGTCTGTCAGGTTAGTGTAAAGAATAGAGAGAACATGTCAAAATAAAGCTACCAGCTGTGCTGGGGATGCCCCTAATGAGTCTCAGCAGAGGAACATGATATACATCAAGTTTGCCTCAGCACGTCAGAGCTGTTCATCTGGAGAGTTCCGGGAGTGGATTCGCAATGAAGGATATAAGGCAGAGGTCACAGTGCCCTTTCCTCCTGTGCATGGTGGCTCAGGTTTTGAGAGGCACAGAAGAGACCCAGCTTAGGAAGACTGCGGGTTCCCACCTCTGTGTGCTGGAACAAACCCACATAGGTAGCACTTTTTGGTTCTTCATTACTCAGTCCACAGAAAGTACATTGTCTATACTCTTGGTGGAAAGAGGCAGAGCCAGCAGAGACTGGGCAGAATGTGGGCCTCAAGTCAACTGTTCTTCTTTCATTCTGGTTGTAGATTCTCAATATCAAATGTTTCAGGGTAATTTTTACATGATATGAAAATCTGCAGAGACTTAGAACAGCTTGGGTTAGTTTTTCATTGCTGATTTTGTCCTTCTGATTACACACACAAATTATCCACCAGGAGCCAGGAATTCACAGAGAGGGACTTTTTCCAAACTTATTTTCTTGCAGATCTAATTTAAGACACAGGGCAATAGAATGATTAGAATGCTAATATAGAAACATTTTTGGTTATGATCTGCAAGTGGCATTCAGAACATAGAGATAAGACGCTGTGCCAGCTGAGTTTCCAACAGCATTTTTAAAGGAAATCCTGAGGACATTATAACTCATCTAGTGTAGATGTTATAATGAGGTCTAGCTGGGTTTTAAGACACATTTACCTGTAAAGAAAATAGAATTTTTCAGTTAATAATTCAGGTGAGCACAATGTAGCAAACATACTGAAATCCTGTGTTTTGAATTGAGAAATAAAATTCTCTATATAGATAGCAGAGGTGGAAGAGCAGGCTTTGATGGAAAGACGATGAGTAAAAATGTCAGAATCTGACTCCATTTACTGAGTCAATGGTTGGATTACAGCTTAGAATAACAAAAGAGGAACTAAAATATTAACATTTGATAGAATATTCTAATGCTTAACTACATATATCTGGAATAAAAATCATTAAAGATAACAATGAATAAACGTATGCCTTGGATATACTATGGTAAATTATTTTGAACCTAATGTACATATTTCTTGAGTGAATGATGGATAAGTGAATGAATGAATGAGTGGATTGTTTAAGGTGGAGTGTTAGGGCACACTTTAGGAGTGAATGGTTCATATTCTTCCAATAAATGCTACCTTGAGAGCAATGGCTCCCGTGAACACCCAAACTTGACTTTGTAGATGTGAAGGAGCTAAATAAGGGATGTGTTTTTGAATCATCTGACCTATCGACTTTGGTCCTGCATCTCTAAGTGTATCTGTGAACTGGAACCAGTTATTTTTTGTCTTTAAAGATAGGGTCTCATTAAGGAATTGATAGATCTGTTCTACTCATAAAGCATTAACAGGCAAGTATCATGCACCAAAGATACCAACATAAAAGCTTTCTTTTGGTGTGAACTGTGTGATCACAAAAAACTAAGTGCCTTGTATCAAATCTTAAACTGAAAGATACGATGGGATATTTTAAAAATACATGTTTTGGCTTAATAAAAAGTGTCCCCTAGGCATTCCATTGCCACAATATCATAACCTTTCACTAGAACTTCTGAGGAATTCATACACACAAACACTTCTGGGATCAGTTTAACCTGCTGCTTTTCATATTTTGGAAATTTTCAATGAATTTCAAGAGGCAAAAATTATGTTTCCACTTTGGTCCAGGAACGCTACACAGAATCAGCAATTCCTTATGTCAGCATAAAGTAAGGAGAAAACATAAGATACAAGAAATTATAAAGTACAATAAATATGAATTAAACATCTGTCATAGAGATTGCTGGAACTCAGAAATAAAACCTTAGTTATGTAAAATCAATGCAATTAGAAAGAGGCTCTGCCCCTACTTTTTAAATTAATGTAATGTTATAAAATAGTTATAAATTTGCCTTAGTCATAATGGTACAGAAAGAAAACTCTTAAATTTGAGGAAAATATCTAATATGAATTACTTTACAACAATGCCCATTGAGGAGTTTGATCCACTGCGGATATCTTGGTATTAAGAAAATTGGACATTGGCATCATTTCTATTGTTAAGCTGATACTGCCGGTTATCGGTGAGGAGTCCTGCTTCCCCACATGATGAAGTTTGAACATCAGAGAAGCGCACTGAGGCAAGCAAATAAAGCAGGGTTTATTTAAAAAGGGGTAACAGACTTCTCCTGCGAGGGAGAAGGGGGCCATAGCTGGTATCCTGGTCTCCCAAGAGGGGAGGTGTTCTGCCCTTTTTATATGTCCTGGGCTTCCTTTGTTCACCTGCATTTTCCCCTTATCTTTCTCCTTGGTGACTAGGCCCAGGAATGCTAGGTGGGATGGCCAAAAGGTGGGAAACAGGTGGGCTGAAGGGGGAAGGACTGGATGCAGCAACCCAGGACACAGTAACAACCTTATAGCTCCCTGTAGGGAGGGGAAATGACAGGTTATCTTGGCCAC